GTTAAATGAATTAATTCTGAAGGAACTGGATTTGATTAAGATCCATTAAGGTCTTAAATGACACAAGAACTGATAGACAGCATTCATTATAACAAAAGATCATATATTTCTTAAAAATGTTGTAACAGCTTTATGTACTCTACACATTTGAAGCATTAACATCAGTATACATGAAATAATTTGACCATATTTGTTATTTACTGCAGGAAATCCTTCTTCTGAGAGACGCCAGGACTGCAGCTGACTGGTGTAGCAGGAGAAAATGGGATGGAAAAATACAATTTCCCATTGTCCTTTCAAGAGAAAAGGAGCAACAAATTGCATCCCAATGCAAATTGCAGAGCTGGATGGGTGAATATGACGAAAGTTCTCCAGCCGAACTGATCACTTTTGTATTTGGGAAACAAAAAGATTATGAGGTGCTCTGCACAGGAATGGTTGATACAGCAAAGTACAAAATCTTCGCCAGATTTGAGGAAGAATAAGCCATCCTTCAGAATCATAAATAAAAAAATCAATCAATGATAAAAATACATTAAAAAATATATTTTTTAATATTGATATTGTATCAATATATATATATATATATATATATATATGGTCACACTTTAGTTTTGGTTAATAAAAATATAAAAATGAAAATAATCTTATCTCACAACTCTCGTAATTACGGCTTTTAGCGAGCATGAGGGAGGTGAATGGTGCTTCTCAAACGGAAGGCTGCATCCTAAAATTCAGATGATCTCCGTACCGACTTGTTTTCTTTCAGTTTATTTTCGTTAATTTAAATGTGTGCAGCCTTCGTAGGATGCAGCCTTCCGTTTGAGAAGCACCCACCCATAGATAAGCTTTGTTGAACTGAAAAGGGCTCTGAATGAGGAGTCGATTCCCTTTGATGGATTCGATTCCAAACTTTGGAATCGACTCTCGATTCCCAACGCCTCGGAATTGAGGAATCGATTCTTTTTGGAATCGATTCCCAGCCCTACCTTTGCTGCAGGAAGGAGTAACCCTGCGTTCACAGCGCCGCCGTCGACAGCATACAGGTACATCTAAAAAAATTAGAATATCATGAAAAAGGTCAATATTTTTTGTCACTCATTTCAGAAAGTGAAGCCCATATATTATATAGATTCATTACACATGGAGTGAAATATTTCAAGCCTTTAATTCTTGAAATTTTTATGATTATGGCTTACAGATAATGAAAACCCAAAATTCAGTGTCTCAGAAAATTAGAATATTACATAAGATCACTAAAAAAAGGATATTTTAAACAGAAATGTCAGGCTTCTGAAAAGTATGTTCATTTCTATCCACTCAATACTTGGTTGGGCCTCCTTTTGCCAATAGTATCCAGCTGCAGGAGAAGGGTCTAGCTGCAGCCTGGCACTTGCACTCTCAGACACTTGCACTCTCAGACTTGCACTCTCAGACACTTGCACTCTCAGACACTTGCACTCTCAGACTTGCACTCTCAGACACTTGCGCACTCAGACACTTGCACTCTCAGACACTCGTGCTTCCGCTAGCGAGGTCACATGCAGTCTTTTATTTTTTATTTTGTTCTATTTTTTATTACTTTTTGTTTGAATCTCTCAACATTTTACAACAGTAGCCAGGTGGTGAAGACAAGAAAAAAGAAACTAAATTACAAAGTCACTTGCAATCGCCACTTGCACTCTCCGCTACCTGCGACGTCACTTGCAATCGACACAAATCGTGCGTGTTGCCAATGGAGACAAGAAGCTGTGGTGATTAAACGATTAAAACTAATTTAGTATTATAACATACAGGGTCCTGCAAGAAAAAGACAAGACCTGCAAATCCGTTGCAGACCCGCAGCCACAGAACCGGAAGTGAGGGGCGGAGTTTACATTTTTTAAATCGAGTAGCGTTGCCTTACGGTTTTAAGGGGTCATTTGCTTTTATTACACACGATACGTCATACTTTATGCATGTATGCATTTTATAATGACATATTAAGCATTTTATAAACATTATATAAATCTTGTGTAATTTAGTTGTAGACCTATACAGTTATTCGTTTCATTGTATTATGCGAGTAATTTCCTGTTTGTGATATTAAAAATAATGTTTGAAACTTCTGGGCATTTTATAGGAAATATACTTTAATCACAAGATTCAAAATAAATGTTTACTCCAAAGTCAAGAACACGTGCATCATAAATTTTTCTATATGAAAACGAAAACATTTCAATAAAACACACACACACAAACAGCAGCATTATTTTAAAAGTAACAATCAAAATGTACACAATAATTAAATTGAAGTTTATAAAATGAACAATTCACCCTTGGGCACATTTTGTTATGACAATCCTACAAAAATAACTCCCCTGAACACAAGATGAAATATGAAGGGCACTCTGGAAACTTCTGTTCCAGGAGATTATTGAGGGCCTTCTCCTTGTCCTCTTCCTCCATTATAAGGAAAAGAGGCTCTTCCACTGCCCCCCTGAGCACATGTCTATTTAATGGAGCCATTTCACAACTTCTGTGAGATTACTGGATCACAGACAGACAGACAGACAGACAGGCTTGAGACATACCTCACAAGCGTAGCCTGTTATCCAATTGGAAGGTCCTTTTGTAGGGTGTCTGCACTGTAATATACATGTATCTTGGTTTGCAGCTCAGGTAATGTGTCAACTCTCTGAATCCTTATATGTCTCTACAAGAGATGAAGCCACACACAATTATCTCAATGATGACAAATGGGATTAAAATAACCAAACTACAAGGTAATATTAACACACAAACAATGCATATAACAGAGGGAATTAAAGCAAACTATTTGTTTTTTATGAATAATAAACGTCTTCAAATCTTCACCACAAGGCCCATTTACAGCATGCATCCGAAAATTAATCGAAACATCCACAGAAAAAAAGTAATATGCTATAAAGTATGACAACAAATTAAAGTTTCAATATAAGATAATAAAGCCAAGCACACATTAAGTACTTAGCAGATAAATGCATAACGTAATATATATATATGATAATTATTAAACATATGATAGCAAAAACATTACAGACTACTCACCGTGCTCTCTCGGTGTCAATAACTCCGCCCCTCACGGACGGTTCTGTGGCTGCGGTTCTCAAACTGCTGATGCTGCGGGTCTGCAGCTGGATATATCTCGCAATATTAGCCGTGCACGGATCCACACTTCAAAAATCGACCTCAAATAGTAGACCATCCGGGGACTTTTGGCATACTCTTTTCAACATACTATGCTTTGGGAAACACTCATTCTAATCTCACATACTATTTAGGATGAATAGTATGAACATTGAGACGCAGGGATAGCCTATGAAATGGAACGCAGCTGTAACGTTTCCTATGGTGAACGTCTTATTCTTGAATATTAATTAGCTAATGGCGACGTTGTTTAGTAGTTCTCCGGTGGCGAAGGCTTGCTCATGAATATTAATCGACAACCCGTTACCGTCGTTGGATTCGTAATGGTTTCTTTTTTTTCGCATTTAAACACCCACACGGAGCATACAGAACAACATGGCTGCAGTAGGCAGCTTAGTAAACAGTTTGGCTTGTCTTTGGAGACAGCCATGTACCCGTACTTATTTACCGCATTTGTTATTTTGTATTTCGTTTATAGGATCGGTTTTGAAAACGACGGGCCTTGTGCCGGAGAGCTACTTCAGTAACAGCAGAAATATTTTAAATCTGTAAGTAACAGTTACGTACAAGTCTACTGTATATGGTAGCAACCTTACCTAGATAAAACTCAGTTAAACACTGTAAAACTAAATTAATTTAGTGGAAATTTGTTCGTGTTTAGAAAACAATAATTATAGCAATATAAAAGTAATAGACTTTAAGCAGTTTTAAAAAGCAATGCTTGTCATTGACAACTTACTATGACATTGATTTTTGGCTCCAAAGTCATTTGATCATTTTCACTTCATTTTTTCTACTTTCAGATATTTTGTGAAAGTTTCATGGGCATGGACCATTGCTTTACTTCTGCCTTTCATTCGTTACTCCAACATTTACAACAGAAACCACACATTTGTGTTGAGGCGGCTGACTTCACTACTGGTGGCAACATCCATTTGGTACACCTGCACTGAGACTTTTTCCTACATTGAAGACATTACTGGTTCATGCTTTGAGTCAGACACTATGCAAGTCATCCACGGTGACATTACCACAAAGGCGGCGTGCAAGAAGGCCGGATTCATCTGGGATGGTTTTGACATATCAGGACACTCCTTCATCTTGGCTTACTCTAGTCTTGTGATTGTGGAGGAAATGGTGCCCATGTTAAACATACCGCGAAGTGACAGAAATGTTCTTCTTGATTACATTTATATAGCACTCAATGCTATTGTGGCCATCTGGATATGGATGTTCGGATGCACTTCTGTGTATTTCCATGATATTATTGACAAGACTATAGGGACGTTGTGTGGGATATTGGGATGGTACGTGACTTATGGTGTTTGGTACCCGATGTCCTTTTCTCCAGGTCTCCCTCCACAGCAGAAACAACATGCTTAGTGTGGGAAATAAATGCTACATGTGCACTACAGGAAGCTTGACATATCTGTACTGTTTATGTTTTGTGAGATCCATAACAGGTTAGTCTTCCAGGTGAGGCGGTAGGCAGCTGGTGTTCCTAAAATGTCGACCTGTAATCTGAGAGGTCACATCTGAACCTTATTGTTGCATTCAAATGTTTTGTGGCTTCATAAAGAGCTGGAATAGGAAACCTGACAATAAATCTATCTTATATGGCAGTCTGCTGCTGCTTTCTGTAATCAACCTGCAACCTTCAGCTGAGCTGCCTTTTAACAGTAAATATATAAAGTTTTTCTCCCGTGACACTAATATTTTGAATATTTATAATTGTAAATGTAATTTATAAACAAAAATGAAAAAAAGAATTATAGTGCAATGCATTCGTGTAAGTTTTATATTTGCAGTGTGTTTTAATAGGGCTATTTTATGTGTTCTGTCTAAAGGCCAACCTGTTGTTCATTCATATGTGCCATTGTTAGATTAGTTGTTTGCAGTTGTTGTCATTTCTCATGTCACTGATCAGTTTAGCGCAGGAAACGGACACCACCTGTTCTTAGAAACTCAAAAGGATCTAAAACATACTGTTTGTAATATTATTACAAGACTGTCTGGGGACTGGATTGATGTTTGAGTGAACATTTGGCTGCGGTTATAAGTATTTCTTACAGGTTTGAGGAACAATGCAAATTAGATGTAAATTAATTCTAAAATACAAACGATGGGACATGCTGGTTATGAAGGGCACATCCATTAGTCATTTCATGTGTGTCAATTAAACATGATTTTGAACAATTATCATTGAAATTATGCTTGTTGTCATCAGTATTCTAAAGAAAGCAAGCTGCAACATGTTATTATGTTGAGTTATTGTACTGTATCCGTTTTACCTGATGTGATGACAGAGTTCTTGCTAGTATAACACATCACTGAGATGTTTTTATTTAATTAATTATGGTGTTTAAAAAAATAAATAGCTTTGAATTGAGGACCTCTAGTAGATGTTTTGATTTAGTTGTCTCAAGGTTAGACTCTGTAAACCAAATTAAAAGGAATAGTTCACCCAAAAATTACAATTTACTCACTTGCAGGTCACCCAGATGTAGATGAGTTTGTTTCTTCATTGTAACAGATTTGAGGAAATGTAGCATCACATCACTTGCTCACCAACTGAATCTCTGCAGTGAATGTGTGCTGTCAGAATAAGAGTCCAAACAGCTGATAAAAGCATCACAATAATCCATAAGTAATCCACACAACTGTGTGTTTGTTATAGTCCACTGCTTGTAATAAACAAAATCATCCATATGACAATTTCAACTTCACCATTGTTTCCAGATTGAGTCATCTATACATAATATTGCTTTCTCAATAAAAATGTCACCTCATCTGAATAAGGACAGAAATATTCTCAGATCAAGCACTGTTTACAAGTGAGAACAGTCCAAATCAGTTGCAAAAAATGTGTTCAAATATGGATTTTAATGTAAGAGGATAACAGGTGATGGCGGAAGCGTTATTATTGATTATGGGCTTGTACTTTGGCCAGCAGTGATGACTTGATGGATTTGTTTCTTAAAAACTTCACTTCATATAATGTTAATTGGTGGACTGGAGTCGTGTGGATTAATTGTGGATTATTGTGATGTTTTTATCAGCTGTGTGACTCTCATTCTGACCCATTCACTGTAGAGGATCCATTGGTGAGAAAGTGATGCATGCTATACTTCTCCAAATCTGTTCAGATGAAGAAACAAACTCATCTACATTTTGGGTAAATTTTCAGCAAACTTTAATTTTTGGGTGAACTATTCTTTTAAATATCTCATCAAATATGCTCTACTGTCTTTCATTGCTCTTACACTTTAGCACGTTTTTGTGCTGTGGAAAAATTCCGGATCTCTCTGGACAAATGTTGCAGTAGTGATACGCAGTTTAATGTGTGTCACGGGGGAAAGGCTGCTCCCCTCTTGTGCAGCTTGATTGGTACAGTCCAAGCCTCAGTCAATGGTGTTTTAAAACCTCGATGTTGCTAGAATGTGCCTTTTAGACTGAGGGAGGGGGTTTGTGCTCACAGAGCTGTGGTTTATTACAGCAGTACAGCATCATCACCATCTGTGTGCAGCATCCCAGACAGGTGCGAAGAGTATAGACTAAAGCTCTAAGATAGACGCAACGACTTAAGTAAGCTAAATTAGATTCAAAACTGAGACCATGACCCAGGGAAAGGTAAGCATTTTTATTCTTTACTGTTATGAGATTTTATCATTTGTCTTTAATTGCTGGTTATTAACCAAATGCAATGAGTTTTTTCTTGTCTGTGAATTCAGTGGTCTGAATAGCTGTAATTTCTTTTACGTGCTAGTCTGTCAGCACTGTTCTGGTTTCATCTGTCCTCCATGATGATTAATAATGATCCCGTGACACTAAAATAAGCTTTGTCATGTCTTGGATTTGTTCCTTATGTTTTTGGACTGACTCTAAAATGGAAAATTCTGTAGATTTACATTATCTTCTGTACCATTTATAGACAATCTGAAATTACTACAAAATGATACCATATCCTTAGTAGCAAATAAATCCAGCACAATATATACAAATTGAACATGATTTATTTTTACCTCATTTAAACATTCTTAGAAGGGCATTCGATGGCTTTTGTTTGCCTTAAACAGGTTAAGACAAAAAGATTATATGACATAATTTAATTTAACAATGTGCAAAGCACCATTAAAAAGTGCTTGTACTGTTTTTGCTTTAATCAGCAACAGACAGAATTTAAAAAAAAAAAAAGTTAACAAAGTTAAACTTCACAAATGTGAAACAGGCAAGATTCAAAACATTTTCAAATACATGGCAAAAAAAAAACTACTACTACTAATAAAATGAATACAAGGCAGGGCTGTCATTAATAACAATTGCTATAGACTTAAAGTCAATTAGTCGAGTGAAATGTTCCAGTGTTGATGCCATTTTCCTATAAGAGAACACAATATTCTTTAAAGGGACAGTTCACCAAAAAACTGCAGACGTTCTCATGATACAGCTCATCCCGGTAGCACTACACTGTTTACAAGCAGAGGAAAAGGGGCAGCGTATGCAAGCCTCATTATATTTAGGTCTTGTTTTTGTTTTTTTAATGGTGCTTTTTTAAAAATGGTGTCAACACAACACGCAAGCATTGTGATGCTCTCAAGATCACTTGTAGGAGATCTATGCTGAAGAAGATATTTTGTGATAAAAATACTTTTTTTGCACAAAAAGGACTTATGTTGCTTCTTAAAATGTATGTTAAGCCACTGGATTCACATACTTTAATGATGTCTTTATACCTTTCTGAACCTTGAAAGTGGTAGTTGCATAGGCTGTCAATGGGGGGACAGAAAGCACTCAGATTTCATTAAAATGATCTTCATCAGTGTTCCAAAATTGAACGAACGTCTTGCACATTTGGAACGAGAATTTTGATATAACTACCCTTTAAGGTAGGTTACTAACCTCTAATTCATGCTAAATTATCTTAGTGTTAAACTTCAATTGGCATGTTAACAAGGTTTGTTCTCAGCTTCTATAATTAAATGGATCAGGATATACAGGAGGAAAGAGTCTTTTAAGGTGGCTTATAATGTAATTTATCAGCAGCAAACTCTCCTATTACAGTGAACCAGTCATTGATAAGTAATGACCAGATCAATTACTCACTCTCTCCATTCTCAGTTACGTTAAACACACTTTTGGATGGCATTATGTACAACGATTCACTAATCCATGCACAGTGTAGCCATACAGTATATGATAAAAAATATTGTTCTGACATGAATAATGTAATACACTGAATAACAGGTTCTGTAACAATAAAGGTTCCTTTTAAGGATCATTCTATAATGAGTGCACATATATACAGAATAACAAATAAAGTTTAATATGTTTACAGGTTTCAGTAACAAGCAAGTCAAACAATGACTCGGATGTCCAGCCGATGGCTTCAGTTCCTCCAAGTTATGAGGAAGCAACTGCTGGTATATACTTTTTTTCCTTGGTGAATTTCCTTTTTAAACTGATCTGCACTTTAAAATGATTGTTAATTTAGATAGTCCACCTAAAAATAAAAATTCTGTAATCATTTATTCCCCTTCATGTTATTCCAAAACTTTATAACAAAAAATATGATATTTTGAAGAATATTGGTAACTAGCCCTGATAGCACACTTACATCACGGAGACGTCTATTTGACATCTTTACATCTGCAAGACATATTTTTTAGAGTGTTTGCTCATCTGCAATATGTCTATAGGACGTTTCCTATCAGAATGTCTTTAAGATATTTATAATTTAGAATGTATGTAAAACTGACATCTTAAAGATGTCTATAAGATGTTTGTACACAGCAGATGCTTTCCAGATGAAGTGATCTTTAACAAACATCTTGCAGACTTACGTGTCGTGTGCTATCTGGGAAACAATTTTGGGTCCCATTGAGTATGAAATACTATGGAAGTCAATGGGACCTGAAACTGTTTGATTACCAACGTTCTTCAAAATATCTTCTTTTATGTTTCACAGTGACAGAACAAATATGCATACAGGTTTTGAAGGATACGGAGCACCGCACATAACATGCAGGGGAAAAAAGTAAATGGTGCACATGATTTATAATTTGTTCCCTAGGTTTAAGTAAATTTAAAAACATTCTGGTGGACTATCCATTTAACTCAGCGAATGCCAATGTATTTTGGTCACTATTCATTAATATACGTAAAACACTAATGGCATTCATCACCCATTGAGAAACAACTTGAGAAACAAATTGTTTCATATTTCCTTTTGGTATTGAAAGGTGGAAGCCCTTGTTATAGTGGGGCCTATCCTGGAGATGGTGAGATGCTCACAGAATTCAGCTGGGATGACCAAAACATCAGGAGGATATTCATCCGCAAGGTATTGTTGCCTTCTGTTGCGGTTCTAAACAGCTGTGGAAAATATGGAGTGAATTAATGTAATATTATTTCCTGTAGGTGTACACCATCCTTATGATCCAGTTATCTGTCACAATTGCCTTTGTGGCTCTTTTCGTTTTCTGGTGAGTGTGTGAGCTGAACAAACTTTCATAATGCATTATTCCTTTTTTTAAGCTTGTTTAACAATGTCTTGTTTAACTTTTAGTGAACCCGTGAAATATTACATACAGACCAACCCTGGCTGGTACTGGGCATCATAGTGAGTACAACTCATTACTTTGGGTTTACATTGTAAATGCAAATCTTAAAATTCAGTTTGAAATTTTAAGACAGCTTATAATACAGTAATTCAGTAGTAGTGCAAGTTTTTCCTTACTGTGTTGCTATGCTGTGAATGTATAATGGCTTAATTGTCTTTTTCTCCCAACAGTGTAGTGTTTTTTGTCACATATCTGACTCTATCCTGCTGCCGTGGACCCCGGTGAGTGCATTTGTAGAGATACAGATGTATATCAGATGTATATATAATATAGCTAATATACAATATAACCATAATTTTATAATCTAAAATAATGTTTATATAATTTTTTTAGCAATTAACTTTAATTACATGGACACATTATATAATATGCATTCATCTTTTATATTTACAGGAGGCAATTTCCATGGAATCTGATTCTGCTCATGATCTTTGTGAGTATTAAAACAACTAAAACAACCTTAATTACAAGTCTTTGGTCATTAAACTAGCTATTATTTGACAAATACTAATATTGATCATGAACAAGCCTGTTTTCACATATAAAAGAAAGTCTTCCTCTATTTAAGCATGTGATCTCTCTTCTTCTGTTCCAGACTCTGTCTCTTTCTTACATGACAGGAATGTTGTCCAGGTACAGTCTCACAATATATGTGTATCATATCTTTTTTTTACATACATGTTAAATATGTTCTGCATAATTTCATATTCATATTTTCACTTAGTCAAACTTGCACAGTATATTGTGTTATGTCACAAAATGATTTATAGTGAAATCATTTTGCATGTAACAAGATGTCTTTTATAGACCTATTTCTTATTTAAATATCCCACCTCTGGCTTCATCTCTCTAGCTACTACAATACTAAATCTGTCATCATATGCCTGGGTATTACTGCCTTGGTGTGTCTTGCTATTACTATCTTCAGCTTCCAAACCAAGGTTAGTATTATTAAAAGCAACACATATTTTCATTTGTCTTGAATGCAATCATTTTCAACTGTAATCTGGAGTATGTTTATTCAGATCAAATGTTTGTGATTTTACAGATTGATATTACTTCATGCCAAGGTGTGCTGCTAGTCTTCTGCACAGTATTGTTTATTTGTGGACTTGTCCTGGCATTCACCCTGCCCTTTGGATATGTAAGTACCAATGTCAGCAGTTGATTAGTAGATTTATTATTTCTCAGCAGGGTGCTGGACTTTAATATTCACAGAAACGAGAATGTGCTTTCACCAAATTTTTTCTCTCTTCTCTTTACAGGTTCCATGGTTGCATGCTGTGTACGCTGTATTGGGAGCAATACTGTTTTGCATGGTAAATAATTATAAGTATTTTTAACTCAAAGTCATTTTAGATCAGATTTTAGTTCAGCTTAATCCTGTAAAGCCTAACATATGAAATAATAGTCATTATCTTATGTGTTTGTAATTATTGTCATCTTATTGTTTGCATCTCTCTTTTGTCTTATAGTTCCTGGCATTTGACACACAGATGCTGATGGGGAAAAAGCAATACACCATAAGTCCTGAGGAATACATCTTTGCCACTCTCAGCATATACCTGGACATTGTTTACATCTTCTCTTTCATTCTCCAGTTGTTTGGAACTCCTGAACGGGAGTGAATATGCTGTTAACCTGAAGCTCTAACGGCTCTCCTGAGTGTCTTTTGTTTCTCTGATCTGAGTGATCCTGTCTTTCCAGCATGATTTGGATCTTCAGGGCACGTTGTTGTGTTTAAGCCCCTCACCTCAGCTTTACGATGTGCCATGCATTTATCCTGTAGCATGAAGGAGGTCTTGCATATACATTGCATACGTACACTGGTAAAACTTCAACAACATTCAGCAGTTTTACAAATGGTGTCATAGAAAACAAAACAGAAAATATTAAATGCACTGGTGCCGTGAAACCTATATGAGGTCATTAGCAGTGAAAGTGCATGAAATAGAGCAGAAACAGCATCACACTGAGGTGAAACTGTTTAGTAGGATTTATCCATCAGTGTCCACCGCATTCATCTTTGTGTCTGACCCTGCAAAAGTTTCATATGTGATATCACAGCATGAGGGCATTTTAACAAATCATTCTGAAAAACTAGATATTGTGGTTTTAGGTGTGCACATACAGTATGAATCAAAGCAACATTTACATTTCTGTACAAATTTGATTTAAATAATCAGTGTTTCCATTTGAACTTACCATAATATTTCATATGCTAGGAATTTTCTATTTGGTGATTTTCACTGCCATTGTAAAGTCATTGACTTGATTGAGATATGCTTTTTGAGCATTAATTATATTGCTTAGGCCTTTATGTATTATTAAATCAGATTTTTTTTTTCATTCCATAGAGTTTTAATGTATTATCAGCACAGATCTATTTTTGAAGACAATGAGTTGTAAATGATTTTGGATGTGTACATAGCTTTACAGTGTTCACTAAAAGAGGACAAAATCACTGCAGCTGGATTTAAACAGTATGCAGTACATATTAGATATTTTTTTCCTGTTTGTAGCCTTTACAGTAGAGACAGTGTAAAAAACACAATTTATTAAAATGTATTGAATATGAAATTATTATATGACAATGTATGTTCTAATTGCAAATTAAAAAGATGCATTTCCTCAGTCAGAGTAAATAAATGTCGTGTCTTGAATTTCTCTGAAAATACCAATATAATTCCAGTTCCTTCCTATATTTTTGTGTGCAGGTGTTATCATGGTAACATTATAGATTATCAACACAATTATCTCCCTTTTTAATAAAACAAGCTTACATCTCATATGTGGGTGGCCTTAAATTTTAATTTAGGCCTACATCAAAGAGAAAACCTTTAAACATGTATTGTGTTTAAAACTTTTTCTGAGATCTCTTAATAAATTAGTAGAGATGCAAAAAAAAAAATAGAAAGACTTGGTTGAATGAATGATTCAATGACTCGCTTTTAAAACACAAACATTCATTTATCGCCACCTACTGGCATAACGATGTTACCTGCAGAAAGAGTCAATTAAACAATCAATAAACAATTCAAAAGATTCAAGTCACTGACATTAATCAATCCCCTCTACTACAACAGAGTATTTAAAGTTAAAGCTTAAGCACTTCTTCTTCTAATAACGTTTTATGGCGGATGGCAAACCAACTTCTGGTGCATTTACCGCCACCAACTGGACTGGAGTGTGGAGCACTAATATGCAACTAATATATACATATTTATATTTATCTATATTTTATATAAAAAAATAAAATACGCTTAAGCACTTCTTATTCTTCTTCTTCTTCTTGTAGCGTTTATTGGCGGTGGGCAAGCCAAGTTTTGGTGCATTACCGCCACCAACTGAACTGGAGTGTGGAGTGACAATGAGAAGGCTTTATAAAAATAAATAAATAAATAAAAATAAATAAATAAAAATACATACAATTATTCCTTATATTCTCATAAAGATTCCCGTGTCTATTAGATAACTTATTCACTTTGCACTTGATCCCACCATTCCTCTTTCAAAACACTGCGCACTGATGACGCGCTTCCGCTCCGCTCATCCAATGGGAAAGCGCGGTTTTAACATGTGGGCTTCGGCCATGTTCTGCTTTTAAATAAGGAAGAAGCGGGAGGCGTTAATGCAACTTTGTGTACTCAATATCTCATTCACAGAATCGCTTACGGCTTCTGAGAAATCCGAGTCAGTTAGGAAAAAATATTCACAACAGATACTAACACACACGGCCAGCTATTTGGAGCTCGCTTAACCTCAGAGGTAATTATTGCTGGGCTGGTATCTCGCGTGTTAGCAGCTGGTTAGCTGGTTGAGCTAAAGATCAGCGGTGAGGATTTAGCTGAACTGGTTTAGTCGTGTTTAAGTGAAGGATTCAGCTACTTTTATCGAACAAAGCTGGTTAGCAGTGGCATGCGGATGAAGGGCAGAGGGAGCCCGCGTTTGGGACTGCGCTGACAGCCCTAACGACTTAACCTGCTATAATCGAGGCTTTCAGTCTTTCATCATGTTTAATAAGATATATGGATGGATCGGAACCGGACTCGCCAGTCTGCGAAACGGAGCTCCAGCTGGTGGGGTTCACACGGGTACCGTGAGAGTGGATCAGGACGGGACACTACGGAGAAAGAGACCACTAGACTGGTAAAAAGATTGTTTATATGTGTAAACAACTGAGCGGATTGAACTGTTATTTGATTTATTATTTGGTCTTATAATAAAAGTTTAGGTCTTTAAACTGTTTTTTGAGTCATAATGTTTTGATTCGGTCATTGTTTTGATAGGATGACGTTAGAAACGCGTGCGCGTCCGGAGCTCCTGAAAAACTACATTTTCTTCTCTTTTGTCGTTTATTTTAATATATGAATCTATATTGTTTGTGCGTCTGCTGCTTCCAAAAGAAAAGAAAAAAAAAAAGCCTTTTGAAACAAACCTTCAAAAAGTAACCTTTTGAAGTTAATATTATGCTTATGGTATTGCATTCTCTTATTTTTGTTTAATATGAATGTATTTTTATATATGTATTAATTATAAGTAATTCAATACTATTTTTCTTAAATATTTGTTACATGTTCATTATAATAAAATACCTTCTGATAACTTACCGGTCTCAATTTCCACAGTTTGGAAGATGGAGATGCAGTTGATCAGGACGAGGAGAGAGTGGTGAAGAAATTCAGAATGGGTAAATAACACTATTCGGAATCGATGATAAAAACTGATTTATGCCAATTACAAGAACATTTTGTTGCTTGTTCTTTAGGAGATCTTATGGATACAGTGAAAAATGCAGCTGAGGGAGTGAAAACACATGGTTCGAGTGTTGCTTTTTGGATAAAGAACAGTGTCAGACCTAATCCAAGGAACGTGTTGCCGACATCACCGGGTCCACCTCAAATAGGAATACCATCAGAACCTGCAGCCAATTCTGCTGCATCAGCATCTTTGTGGGTGGAAAACAAGGTACTTTTTTGCTCATCAAGATCTCAGTGGGTTTACTTCATTTCCTTGAGATCAGGTATCACAGAAGAGCAAAAGCTGTCGTGTAGGGCTGCACGATTAATCGAATGCGATTGTCATGCGCATTTTGTTAGTAAAGCCGGTTCTGTAATCAGCAGTAAATCATCATCACGTGCTTTCAGATGGAGCAGCATTTACTACACAGAGCTGTAGTTCACTGACAAGTTACGCAAAAAAATCGATTCTGAAATCGTTCGCGATAATGACAGCATAGCTTCTCAGTGAACTACGGCTCTGTGAAGTAAATGCTGCTCCATCTGAAAGCATGTGAAAATACCACATTTAATAACATATTTTTACACGTATTTGGAGTTTCAGCGCGAGAGCGCCCTCCGGCCTTTGGATGGAGATTTACTGCTGGTCACAGAACCGTGCTTCACTGAAAGATACGCATGACAATCGCAGCTTCTGTCGAATCGCGATCTCGATTCCATTTCGATTTATCGTGCAGCCCTACTGTCGTGTCCAATTCATTTGATCTAATTCAGACTAATTCAGTCTAATTTTTATCTATGCTATATATTTTAGCATGTTTACTTATGTTTTGCTTTTTCTTAAAGTTTGGGGATCGGTCATGTGATATAATTGAGGACACATTTGTAGCTCCCTCTAGTTCAGTTGAATGGAGAACTGTCACAAAATCTGGTAAGGGTAAAAATTGTTCATGTTTTCTGTGTGTAGTTATTTGTTTTTCTTTCTGCAAGTTACATATATTGTCTTTTTCTGTTGTGACAGATTCCTTACGGACTGAACAGTCAGTCACCATATCAAAAGCAAGCAGAAGACAAGTTTGTATGGACCATCCACCCCAAGAGACACACAAAGCTAACGGACACTCTGTTAACTTACCCTCTGCTTCCATGCCAAACCCATCCTCCTCTCCCCGCTTGGGCAGATCCCTGTACCACCGACCACACAGGTTGAATTAAACATAGAATAAATGTGTTAAATCATGACATTTATGTTAGAAAGAGTCATAATTAAATAATTGAATTTAGTTTCTTGTTAAATGTTTTGTTGTTAGATATTATTGCTCCGGTTCGAAAGAGTGTAATAAATGCAAGGATATGAAACTGAAAGGAAATTTGTTTCGGTGTTGTAGCTTTTCGTCATCTCCTGAGACCAGTTCAGGACAAGCCAATTATACCAGCCTATATGAGAAGACCTTTCCCATCCGAGTGGTCCAGAGTCCTTCACATGGCAGCTCTAATCGTCTCTTCCGGGCCAGAGCCTGCTGTACAGCACAGGAGGTCAGACACTTGTTGTACGGGTTTGCTTAATAAACCAAATATTTCATGACATAATAAATGGTAAAATTACTTCATTAGACTTAGGACTGCACAATAAGAGTAAAACTGAATTCTGATTATCAAATAACAAGGGCTGTGATTTAATGTGCAGCATGAGTGAAGAACTGTTTTCATTTACACATGTTCAGCTCAGGATATTTTTATTTAGTAGTAGTAATAATAATGTTTATTATTATTGTTGTGTAGTCAAATTGATATATAATTGCAATTTGGGCCAAATTCTGTAGCCAAACAAGCAATACAGCACATCTGGAGATTGTTGTTTTTTATTTGATCAGAAAAAATATAAAAGATATTTCCCCAGGTTTTGCAGCCCTAATTGGACTTTGCTTTTGTTGTTATTATAGTCGGTGCGTGAGGAAGAAAAGGAGGTTTACAGGCAGCTTCTAGCCGTGGTGTCTAGTGGCCAGTCGACCTTCCTTCACGATGGAAGTTTTCACTCCAGCATTCGCTCGCATCGAGATTTGTGAGTATCTGTGTCGCGTTACTTTAAAACGTGTATTCTTTATATCTGTGACTAAACCTGAGCTGTTTAAAGGGATAGTACAAAAATGAACATTTTATCATTCTGTTTCTCACCTTTATATCATTCCAAACTCATAAGACTTTCGTTCATCTTCAGAACACAAATGAATATTTTTTATATACATTTTTTTTTTATATTCTCTCATTCTTATTGACCGTGCACTGAAAGTCCTATAGTTCCTGTAGATCAAGCAGTTTAATCTTAAGTCTTCTGAAGAGACACAGTCACTTTTTATTAGGGATGTAACGATGCACCTTGAGCCTGTTGAAAGTCGATACAAACAAATAACTATTCAAATCGGTTGAGATGTTAAACGAATCACGATTCATTTGGGGCTGGGAGTTTATATGAATGTATCTCTGAGGGGTCTTTAGAAAAGTTTAGATTATATTTTCTTTTCATCTGTATGATGCATGTTAAACTGATTTAAACTATTATAGATCAGTGGTTCATATGTGCAGCACTGCTTTGTTTACAGTGGTAACCAAGGAAACGCTGTATCGCTGCTGTTCCATAAGTGCCATCTGCTGTCAGACAGTGAATTTCCTTGTGAACACCCGGAGCAGTGGGCAGCCATTTATGCTGCGGCGCCCGGGGAGCAATCGGGGGTTCGGTGCCTTGCTCAAGGGCACCTCAGTCGTGGTATTGAAGGTTGGAGAGAGAGCGCTGTACATTCACTCCCCCCACCTACAATCCCTGCCGGTACGAGACTCGAACTCGCAACCTTTGGGTTACAAGTCCGACTCTCTAACCATTAGGTTTTTATCATATGAATTCCTCAGTTTATTTGATTTGATTTGATTTGATTTGTTTTAAAATGTCAATTTAGTTTTGTTATTTGACATTTAAATTTCACAAAGAAATGTTCAGCATTTTGTCCAAACAATAATAAAAGGATATCTTTTCATTTGGAATTTGTCTTAAATTGTTTTTTTTTTTAAAGCGTGATAAAATTGTATTGTGAAATCAGTATCATGAATCGTTACATCCCTACTTTATATGATTTGATTTAGGCTTTTATTCACATGAAAACATTCATCCGCACACATGCATAGAGCTCATCAAATATGGTAAACACAGAAGCTCAGCTGTGCTTAATTGACATGTAAGAACAAATCTCATTGGTTCTTGCCGAAGCACAAACATGCTTGCATCACATCAGTACAAACCTCATTGGTGGTTGCTCATCAAGCAAACATGTTTGATCTTCTATTTATCATATGAATCACTCAGTTCATATGGATTGTTTTGTTTTTTATTTGATCAGAAAAAATATAAAAGATATTTCCCCAGGTTTTGCAGCCCTAATTGGACTTTGCTTTTGTTGTTATTATAGTCGGTGCGTGAGGAAGAAAAGGAGGTTTACAGGCAGCTTCTAGCCGTGGTGTCTAGTGGCCAGTCGACCTTCCTTCACGATGGAAGTTTTCACTCCAGCATTCGCTCGCATCGAGATTTGTGAGTATCTGTGTCGCGTTACTTTAAAACGTGTATTCTTTATATCTGTGACTAAACCTGAGCTGTTTAAAGGGATAGTACAAAAATGAACATTTTATCATTCTGTTTCTCACCTTTATATCATTCCAAACTCATAAGACTTTCGTTCATCTTCAGAACACAAATGAATATTTTTTATATACATTTTTTTTATATTCTCTCATTCTTATTGACCGTCCACTGAAAGTCCTATAGTTCCTGTAGATCAAGCAGTTTAATCTTAAGTCTTCTGAAGAGACACAGTCACTTTTTATTAGGGATGTAACGATGCACCTTGAGCCTGTTGAAAGTCGATACAAACAAATAACTATTCAAATCGGTTGAGATGTTAAACGAATCACGATTCATTTGGGGCTGGGAGTTTATATGAATGTATCTCTGAGGGGTCTTTAGAAAAGTTTAGATTATATTTTCTTTTCATCTGTATGATGCATGTTAAACTGATTTAAACTATTATAGATCAGTGGTTCATATGTGCAGCACTGCTTTGTTTACAGTGGTAACCAAGGAAACGCTGTATCGCTGCTGTTCCATAAGTGCCATCTGCTGTCAGACAGTGAATTTCCTTGTGAACACCCGGAGCAGTGGGCAGCCATTTATGCTGCGGCGCCCGGGGAGCAATCGGGGGTTCGGTGCCTTGCTCAAGGGCACCTCAGTCGTGGTATTGAAGGTTGGAGAGAGAGCGCTGTACATTCACTCCCCCCACCTACAATCCCTGCCGGTACGAGACTCGAACTCGCAACCTTTGGGTTACAAGTCCGACTCTCTAACCATTAGGTTTTTATCATATGAATTCCTCAGTTTATTTGATTTGATTTGATTTGTTTTAAAATGTCAATTTAGTTTTGTTATTTGACATTTAAATTTCACAAAGAAATGTTCAGCATTTTGTCCAAACAATAATAAAAGGATATCTTTTCATTTGGAATTTGTCTTAAATTGTTTTTTTTTTTAAAGCGTGATAAAATTGTATTGTGAAATCAGTATCATGAATCGTTACATCCCTACTTTATATGATTTGATTTAGGCTTTTATTCACATGAAAACATTCATCCGCACACATGCATAGAGCTTGAAGGTTGGAGAGAGAGCGCTGTACATTCACTCCCCCCACCTACAATCCCTGCCGGTACGAGACTCGAACTCGCAACCTTTGGGTTACGAGTCCGACTCTCTAACCATTAGGTTTTTATCATATGAATTCCTCAGTTTATTTGATTTGATTTGATTTGATTTGTTTTAAAATGTCAATTTAGTTTTGTTATTTGACATTTAAATTTCACAAAGAAATGTTCAGCATTTTGTCCAAACAATAATAAAAGGATATCTTTTCATTTGGAATTTGTCTTAAATTGTTTTTTTTTTAAAGCGTGATAAAATTGTATTGTGAAATCAGTATCATGAATCGTTACATCCCTACTTTATATGATTTGATTTAGGCTTTTATTCACATGAAAACATTCATCCGCACACATGCATAGAGCTCATCAAATATGGTAAACACAGAAGCTCAGCTGTGCTTAATTGACATGTAAGAACAAATCTCATTGGTTCTTGCCGAAGCACAAACATGCTTGCATCACATCAGTACAAACCTCATTGGTGGTTGCTCATCAAGCAAACATGTTTGATCTTCTATTTATCATATGAATCACTCAGTTCATATGGATTGTTAACAATGTCTTCATGAATTTTCTGAAGTTTTGGTGAAATGGGCTTTAAATGATGGGCCAGATATTTTCGAAGATGAAAGTTATGGATTTTGATCAACCTAAATGTAATTGACAGAACTATTCCTTTAAGATAATTTTTGATGGTTTCTCTTACTTGGAGTGAAACATTTGGTCTCATTTCAGCTCCAGCTTCCTGTCGTCCAGTCGAAGTCGTCTTCAGTGTGCCTCTCTAGCAGGCTCTGATGCTGGAGTGTCATCCTACGGGTTATCCAGTCCGCCTCCCAGCCCCCGGCCTGGGTCCAGCCAGACTTCCAGTGCCCTTCCCAGTCCCGGTGCGTCCTTTAGCATTCCAGAGCCTCAGCTATGGGTCCATGACCTTGAGCCCAGTGCTAAAGGATCAGCTGTTCCCTCAGCTCCATCACCAGCTGCCCTTCAGGATACCTCCTCTCAGGACACGCAGTCATCAGGTGAGTCCCATTTCTCTCTTTCTTTTTCATGTTTGTAATGTAATCCTGGCTTAAAATTTGACTTTAAGTACTGTTTCACTTTCTTAAGCTCATGACGGAGATTCAGTCATTTTTGTGAAGGAGCAGCAGGGGAAGAAGCATGAAAGCTCAAGGTAGCAGAACATTTTTAGTTGATCTTTTCATCCATTTCTTTTTTTCTTTACATAACCCTATCTTACCCTTTCTAGTGTGCCGTGCTTCCAGGCTGAACTGTGGATCAAAGAACTGTGAGTACTTGTTTTCTCTTGTCTAACAAGTATCAGTGCCTTTAGTTTGTGGTAGTGAATAGCTTCTGAAATCGTCCATATTTGTTGTGTATTTTCAGGACTAGCCTCTATGACTCTCGAGTTCGGGAGCGACGGAGGTTGATTGAAGAGCAGGAGGCTCTGGCCTCTCAGCTCTTGCATCAGGTGAGTAAGTTTCCCCTCTTTTTATGCTACACCTGCATTTTATGTGACTAACCCACTCATGTTCTCATTTGTATCATCAGCGCCTCTCTGGAGAGGGTCGAGCCACCCCAGCGAGCATTGTGCTAAAGCTTCGAGTTCCTCTAGAGAAGGAGGTTCCTGTTGCAGCTGTTATCCAAACGCCTCAGCCTATTAAAGAGGAGCCAGAATTCCCAGCGTTAACAGAGGTAAGTGCTCCTAACTCAATACAAGTGCTCCTTCTGTGGAATACAAAAGTAGGTATTTTGAAGAATTCAATTCAAGTTTATTTGTATAGTGCTTTTTACGATACAAATTTTTGCAAAGCAACTTTACAGAAAATTAAGTTTCTACAATATTTAGTAGTAGCTTATCAGTGGTGGCTGTCAGTTTATGTACATATGGCAGAAATGTACGGAAAAATCAAAGACGTAATCAAGAATGTTGGTAATCAAACAGTTTTACCATTGATTATTTTTCTAAATATCTACTCTTACGTTGTAAATAAGTCATATAGGTTTGAAAATACCATGATGACAGGATTTTCATTTTTGAATGAACTTTTCCTTCAAGCTAGGGATGTTCATTTCGTTTATTTTTCCTAACCGACAACCGACGCTCGTTAACCGATTGTTAACCGTTTACCAACAAGATTATTTTAAATGGAAAGGATTAGTGTCTGTGACCCGTTAAAAACCATTTGTTTCCCGGGGATTAATTTTACATGCGCAAAAAGCAGCAAACAACAGAACAT